GAACAGCTCACGGAGTCCAACAGGGTAGGGAACCCAGATGAATACTAATCCCTCGGTGCTGAAGACGACTTTAGCTTTTAGCTTCTTTCTTCTTCCCGGCCGGCCGCTTTTTTTTTTACTTTTCGTGATAATGTTTTGAATTGCATTTTTTCCTTACGCTACACAAGAACCAACACAACAAGCTGGGCCTAAATGAACAGGTATTGGCTACCCATTATCATAGCTGCCAGGGCTGACTATGGGTTATTCCTGCCTAAAGATGTAAACTCTCGGGTTTCTTGTTTTTATCTGGAAATGGAGAGAAAGGTCTGGCATTTGCAAAACATGAATCTGGGTTCAATTAGTCACTGGGAAGCACAGGAAGTAGTTAATGCATCTAATGTAATTTTCCAAACATAATAAACAGAGCTATTTTTGGAGACACAGCAGAGTAAATACCCAAAGAAGAAATATTAGATTTCTAAACACTCAGAAGTTTTCTCTAAGGAAAAAATATAATCAGACAGTAAAACTATTGCATAGTTTACATCGGTACATAGGACTACTATTGACATTCTACAGAGCAAAATTAATATAGTAACGACACAATTAAGCCAAAAGTATTTGTAAATGCAGAGGTTTCAGAATCTCTTTAAATGCTGCAATTACAGCATGCAGGACGCCCATGACAGTATTTGGTCACACCAGGCTCTGACACTCATAGAATTTCTTGGAGTCAGAACTGTGCAGACACTTCTCCTACTTATGCTCGTGTTAGGTGCCTGGACTCTCCTTCTCCTCCTACTTGGGTTTATAAACCAAGCTGCTGTAATAACGAGGCTGGGCTTTCCGGGTAACAACAGCTATCAGCAGAGGCGTTATCAGAGGTAAATGTTCATGAAACAGGACTAGCATTCACGTATTACTTAGCGTAGATGCAGTAACTGCTGTCAAGGCTCTCTTACTAGCTGCACCCTGAGAGGCCCCTGCAGTGTGTTTGACTGACATCTTTCATCCTGTACAGTATGAAACCTGAAAGATTCGACTCCGAGCACAGAAATGTCTGCTCTTGGTCTGGTGTCACCCTTCCCATTTGAAACTTGTAACTCACAACAATGTCACCTACAGACTTCCCTTCCCTTCCTTCCGTGGTCTCTTCAGGCACTGTTCGGGGCAGTTTGTGAGCAGCTCTTATTTGGCTGTAACGACAGGTCACCCGAGTCCCCAGATACCCCCTAAGAGGGGCACATCTATTTCAAGACTCACTATTAGTGTGCTGCAAGTGTGCCTCAGCAAAAGGGGGCGCGGATTCTGGATGCGTCTATGGGACTAGCAGTTTAAGGGCATGATCAGACTTTGCTACTTGTTTAACCCCCTGCTATAAAGTGCTAAGCTCTTTGGTGAAGGTTGGGATCGTAGTTATTCATGTTATGATGTCATCCCCAGGGGGCTTTACACTAAGCAGGTGACTGTTTCAGCCAAACTAAAGCATAACCAAGGTACATAATTACTGATATGAGACTAATGGGGAACATGGAAGACGAGTCCGTAAAGTAGAAAATATGTATACTGCAGCTGGAGTCATCGCTGACCTTTCCCAGAAAGCTTCACACTCATGCCACGGCAGGTTTAGAGCATCTGGGCTTCCTCTGCCTGCCACTTGAGACATTCAACGTGGCGTTAAGTCTACAGCATTCAGTTTCCAGTTGGAGCGAGTGTTCTAAACCCTGTAGGCAGTACCAGGATCACCTGAGAACTTACTAGCAATACACATTATTCAGTCCTTACTCCTGCGTCAGACATGGGTGAAGAAGCAATGTGTCCATTTTAATAAGCTCTCAGGAGATTCTAATATATACCAAGTCTGAGGACCACTGTAATAGGATAAATACAGCAGCCCTCCCTTAACACAGTTTCACTTTACATGTTTTCAATTATTCACCAACAACTGTGGTCTGGAAATGTTAAATGGAAAACTCCAGAAACGAACCCACCTGTTAAGGACACTTAACGCCCCTCCGTTATTAGACTGAAAGGTCCTGTATGAACTGTGTTGCTACCACTGTGATTTCAGGCACCACTGGGAGTCTCGGAATTTAACTCTACAGGTAAGGGGGGATGCCTGTAAAATAAGTGACCCTTTCCAGGCACTGCCCCATCCTTCGGAAATATGACATATGTGGAAAATGCCTAGTCTTTGGTCGCGAAGTTTTATAATCAAGCTAAGTTTTGTTTGGCAGGTCTCAAATCTCCCTTCATCAAATCGACTTTGACAAAGACTTGCCTCGGCACTTACCCCTTATTATTCAGCGGTGACGTGGGAGACAGGGAAGGGCAGGTCCTCTTGGCAGACGGCTCTTCCTCCTCGTCGTCAGATGAACTGTCTATAGTTAGGTCGATCACCTCTACTTTCTTGTTCTTATTTGAGGACTGGTGATGAGAAGGAACCTGATGCTCCAATGTCGAGCTCAGGCATCCTGTGTGAGGATGATTAAAACACAAGGCAACAAAGATCCATGACATCTCTCTTCACTTCTCAGTGTCCTTAGAGATGAATTCATCAGATACAGTTCAGACTCATGGATTCACTGGGCAAGAGAGTGAAACCCACCCATGGCTTGGTCCCATCAGGCTCAAAACTACAATTTATTATTTTGAAAAATAATTCTGAACTAGGGCAACAATCAAAACGTGTATCTTCTTTTTTTTTTGAGAGAGGTTTTTTGCTATAGGGCGCGTGTGCTCGCCAGATAGACAGAGACAGACAGAGAGACAGAAAGTGAGAAATCACCCCCCAGGGGGGATGGCCACGCCACAATCCCTTCTCCTCCATTCTCCTCTCAGGATCTTGGGCATGCACACACATGTGCCTGGTGTGAATTTAAGCCACCAGGTCCAGGACGCAAACTGCGGTCCAACTACATGGGAGTCCAGCAACATAGCCATTACGCTAACTGCTGATCCCCTCAAAACGTGTCCACTTCAAATGAAAGCAGTTTGAGGGCAGAGATTGTATATGCATTGTGTATCACATGCTTATCTGTGCAGTACGTGACGTACCTAAGACACACTATGTTAACTAAAACTCTGGCTTAGTGATTAAGGGAGCTGGATCCCACATGGCTGACCATCGATCAAATCCCAGCTCTAGGGCTTGAACACTATGCAGGGTGCAGGTGTGTACATATCCCACATGCCGGCAGGAAGGAGGGACGGAAAAGGGACTGCAGCATGCTCATGCCCCACTGGGTACTTTCACCCTTTGCCCACATCCCCTTCCTGCGCAAGTACACATGCCCTCTGGCAATTAAAAGAAAACAGACCTACAGCTTCCTTCCAACAAAAATACACGAAAACCCAGGAAAAGAACTATAAATAAATAAAGTTCACTACTCCATATTCTCTCCTTTTTCTTTCAAATTTTTTCCCAGAGGGGGGTGTACTCACCAGAAAAAAGTGAGAGAAGTGAAACACCATCCCACGTAGGGAATGATCACACCATAATTTCTTCTCTCGCTCTTTCTTTCCTTTTAGGATTTTGGGCATGCAAGCCCGGATATGCAGCTTATTTCTCAAACCACTGGGTCTGGGACTCAAACTATTCAATTGGCTATGTGAGATCCAGCCACCTTAACTATGACACCACAGGCTGGCCCAGGATACTGTTTCAAAATCATGACTTTACAAATAACTTATCAGATTATATTACTTTCTAATTTTACACCAGAAAAAAATTTTTTTAAAGAATTATTTATGGAATCGGAAAAACAAAAACCAAAAAAAAAAAGGAATTATTTATTAATTTTATTTATCATTATTTTAACTTACTCGAGACAAAAAGAGAGTGAGAGAAAGCAAGTTGTCAGGTCCAGGACTCAAACGGTGGTCGGCCGTGTGGGAGTCTAATGCCCTAACTGCCATTCCACCCCACCTGCTGGCCCTAACACCAGAAAAATTTTAAAGCTGGCAAAATGGTGAATTTAGAAAGAGTTCTACTATTCCTGAACACTTAAAACATAATTTAGTAAGAATTATAGAGCTATCCATAAACTAATCAGTGTTTTTCTTTTGAAAATGTGTGCATTTTAATACTGACACCCAAGCAGGGAACTAGCCTCGTCCCTAAGAACAACGCTCACTCACCATCAACTCCATTGTAAGAGGCGGACACTTCCTGTACTTCCTTTTTTGATCTCATCGGTGCCCATGAGCCATCTTCCTTAAACTGTATTTCGTCACAATCTGTACAGTACTTGAGGATTTCCATAAACAAACTATAAAAAAAGAGTATGTCTTTGAAATTACATTTTAAATCGAGATAAATTACAAATATTACTGTTCAAAAACATTCAGATTTGCATAAGCATAAAAGAGAAAAAGGAAAGAACATAAGTTATATTGTTCTCGAAATCTAGTATTAAATAGTAGACCAGTTAGCTTAATCATGTAACATTTATGCAATAAAATATCCTGTAATCATGAAAAAGTAACATTTTTCAAAGCTTTTTAATAACATGGGAAAGCATTTATAAAAAGAAAACTGCATTTCAAAAATAAAATCCTGGGAACCAGCAGTTAGCGTAATGGCTATGTCGCTGAACTCCCACATAGTCGACCGCGGTTTGCGTCCCGGACCCGGTGGCTTAAAACTCACGCTGGGCGCATGTATGTGCGTGCCCAAGATCCCGAGAGGAGAATGGAGGAGAAGGGATTGTGGCGGGACCATCCCCCCTGGGGGGGGGATTTCTCACTTTCTGTCTCTAATGTCTCTCTCTGTCTGTCTGGTGAGCGCACGTGCCCTATAGCGAAAATCTCTCCAAAAAAAAAAAAAAATCCTATGTGTGAGTGGTACATGAACAGCAATTATCACTGGGGGGCAGGGGGAAAAGTTGATAGGTATTTATTTTCCTTGACTCTTTGTTGGGGAGACATATTCAAAGTTTTCTACAATAAGCATACTTTATTTGGTAAACTGAAATAATATACACAAAGTAAGTTTCCTTCATAAAACATCACATAGACACTGAAAATATTTTATTTACAAAGAATGCATAGAATTAGTTATGCTCATATTCTTAGGTTATAAAATATACATATTTTTTAGAGAGATTTTTACCAGAGGGCATGTGCTCTTGCTGGATAGACAGAGAGAGACAGAAAGACAGAAAGCAAGAAATCACCCCTGGGGAGGGATGGTCACACCACAATCCCTTCTCCATTCTCCTCTTAGGGTCTTGGGCACACATACAAATGTGTCCAGCATGAGATTTAAGCTGCTGGATCTTGGACTTGAACCATGGTTAAGTACATGGGAGTCCAGCAAAGTAACCGCTACGCTATCTGTTGGTTCCCCTAGGGTATAATATTAAGTAAAACTAAAGGATAAAGATTATTATAGTGTACAATCATAATTATATAAAAACAAAAATCAGAAAATTATATACCAAAAGAAGTTTATTTTCCTGTATTTTCTATTTTTTTGTTAAAGAATTAATTAATATTTTAATTTGACCAGAGAGAGAGAAAAGGAAAGTGAAAAAGCAAGCCACCAGGTGTGAGACTTGAACCACAGCTGGCCAGGTGAGATTCTAGCACCTTAATGACCACACCACCTGCTGGCCCCTATTTTCGAATTTTCTTTTGTTTACTTTTTTTTTTAACAGTTCTTTTCTTATTTTAAGAGGCTGAGAAAGAGAGGAAACTGGAGGTAGAGAGCACAGAGAGAAATAGACAAGTAGCCTCAACAGGGTCTGACAGCATGATCTCATCCGCCCCCACCCTGCCTCCAGGTGGTCAGGATCATGGGCTCGTGCACCTGGGGTTTAACGTCAAGCAGGGAACCAAACCCACAATCTTCTACAGGGGCCCACCATCACCTAAAGAGCGTGTCACTGTTGTACTGTCCCTGAAGAACTAGCTTTAACGTTTCTTGTCAAAGAGACCTACAATATTTTATTCTTCCAATTTTTGTTTGAAATTTTTTTCATTTTTTTTTTTAAAGAGAGATTTTTGCTATAGAGCGTGTGCACTCACCAGAGAGACTGAAAGTGAGAAATCAGCCCTCACATGGTCACGCTATAATCCCTTCTCCTCTATTCTCCTCTAGGGATCTTGGGCACACATGTACATGTGCCCAGCATGAGTTGTAAGCCGCCAGGTCCAAGACTTGAACCATAGTCGACTATGTGGGAATCTAGGAACATAAACATTACACCATCTGTTGTCCTTTCCTCTTTCATTTCTGAAACACATTTCACATGTAGAATTCTTTATTTTCTTTAAAAAAAAAAAAAAAGAAAAGAAAGAAAAGAGAGAGAAATTTTTGCTATAGGGACCATGTGCTCACCAGAGACAGAAAGCGAGAAATCAACCCTCCAGGGAGGGTGATTTTTTTTTTTTTTGCCATGTCAAAAATCCCTTCTCCATTCTCTCGGGATCTTGGGTATGCACACATACACGTCTGGCATGAATTTTAAGTCACTGAGTCTGAGACTTGAACCGCGGTTGACTACTAGGAGTCCAGCAATGTAAAGCATTATGCTATCTGCTAGTCCCTATATGTAGAATTCTAACATGACAGTATTTTTTTTTTTTAATTTAAAAATATGCCAGTCCTTTCTCTCCTGGCTTACAAAAGCTCTAATAAGAGTTCTGCTGTAATTTTTTTAATCTATATTCCTCTGTATATTAATGCTACCTTCCAGATTTTCTTTGTCTTTGGTATTAGCAGTTTGCATATGATATGTCAGGGTATATTCCATATTTATTTTTTAATCCTGCTTGGGAATGGCTGTTGTTCCTATATCTATGACTAGATAATCCATCTCGTCCTTCGGTGTCTGCCCTAGGGTGAAGGCATTTAGTATATGTTAAGTGGGACATACAGTACTTGTCTTTCATAGTCTGGCTTATTTTCTTCTTCTAAGTTTACCTACTCTGTGTCAAGTGACAGGATAATGTCCTTTATTTCTGTGTAGTATTCTATTGTACATATGTGTCACATTTTCTTTCTTCATTCATTCATTGGGTGTTGGGCACTTAGATTGATTCTATGTCTTAACTTTGCAAATAATGCTGCAATAATAAATATGGATGTGAAAACATCTTCTGAGTGATTTCCTGTCCTTTGGGTAAATACTTAAGAGTGGGTTTCCTGCATATACCTTAGTTTTATTTTTAGACCTCTGAAGACTTCTCAGACTGTTTCCCACAGTGGCTATACTAATTTACATTCCCACCAGCAGTGCAAGAGTAATTTCAACCGCACTTGTTAGTTTTTAAACTTTTTTTTTTTGAGAGATTTTTGCTATAGGGCGCGTGCGCTCGCCAGACAGAGACAGAGAGAAAGAGAGAGAGAGAGAAAGCAGGAAATCACCCCCCAGGGGGGATGGCCACACCGCAATCCCTTCTCCTCCATTCTCCTCTTGGGATCTTGGGCACACACACACACGTGCCCGGCGTGAGATTTAAGCCACCGGGTCCGGGACTTGAACCGCGGTTGACTACGTGGGAGTTCAGCGACATAGCCATTACACTAACTGCTGGTCCCTATTTTTTAAACTTTTTGACTCCAGTCCTTCAAACTGGGGTAAGGTGATACCTCATGGTTGTGGTTTGCACTTTCTTTATGGTAAGAGATGCTGAACACTTTTCCATATCCTTTTTTAGCCATTTGCATGTATTCTGTTGAGAGTTATCTTTCAGATCATTTATCCATTTTTTAAATTGTATTATTTTTTTAAACAGGTCAATCTTCATGTTTTTTGGTTATCAATTCCTTATCTGATGTATAATTTGCAAATATTCTTTGCCATTCTGTGGGTTGTCTCTTTATTGTTTCCCTTGCTGTACAGAAGCTTTTTAGCGTGATGTAATCCTATTTGCCTATTTTTGCTTCTTCAGTAGTTTCAAAATCATTCTGAGCACGTTATTTAGTTTCCATGAATTTGCTTTTCTTTTTTTTTATTTGTAAAACCAGGCCACTTTAGGGACCAGCAGTTGGCATAATGGCAATGTCGCTGAACTCCCATGTGGTTGATGCGGTTCAAGTCCCAGACCCAGTGGCTTAAACTCACGCTGGGCGTGTGTGCGTATGTGTGTGCCCAAGATCCTGAGAGGAGAATGGAGAAGGGATTGCAACGTGGCCACCCCCCCGGGGGATGATTTCTCGCTTTCTGTCTGTCTTTCTGGTGAGTGCACGCGCCCTATAGCAAAAGCCTCTCACAACAAAACAAACCCAGTCTACATTATTGCTTTAGTACAATTTAATAAATAACCTTTTGATGACTGCAGACATGTAAGACTGGCTATAATTCAATAGCATCAGTCATGATGGTTTTCCAGAATGGTGTATCATCTTCAAAAACTACAAGGAGTTACTTGTATGCAAGTGCTATCAGGCCAGTAAGACAGCACCTATGCATCCATCATTTTCAGGATTGTTAACTTGGGCATATTTCCCCCAAATAACATTGCCTCCTGTGTCACAAGGCCCAACTCGCTCATGTTCACCTCAATAACAGTACCTTTGGTGATAATACTCAAAGTTGTATGTAGAGGGGATGAGGGATTCTTCTTTACACCAACTACTGGCAGGCAAAAGGTGGCTTTCAGTTCAGGATGTGTTAGGTGGGCCTTCTTGAAATGTAAGGCCATTGGCCTATTGAATCTTTCATGTTTAGGTGGCTTTCTAGTAAAGCCATCTTCAACACAGTAGACTTTTGTAACCATCCTCTTCCATGCCTTCTCTCTCCTTCCTGTCTGAGTAACTTTTAATACTTGTTTCTCCCTGGGCTCAAACTTTGGGTAAAGGAACTTCTCATTTTCCCACTTTTTCTTTCCGTTTTGTTTAATCATATTGGAAAGTACTTTAGCTCGGGACTGTCCTTCTCTGTCCAACACATAGGCAGGGCCTGCCCCTTGTGGCAGCCCCTTGTGGAGTCTTTTCATCACTCTTCTGTTTGGTGTTCCTCTTTTCATGCATCTTGACAGTCTTTTTCATTTGTATTTTCTTAGCATGGCGCTGTTTATGATAGAGCTTAGCCTTCAGACCAATCATCTTTTTTTGCCTTCTTTGAACATTCATAAGCCTCCCAGCTTTCCTTCTTTCTCTTTTTCTCATGGTAAACCAAACGGTATCCATAGCGTTTACAATGTAATTCAATATATTTGTTTTGTGGCATGGTGACACCACAGAGTCACTAGGAGCAGCCTCCCAGACGCAAAGAAGTTGTCAACGTTCAAGTCTCAGAGACCAACTAGGATACCCAACACAGTCCGGGTTGGGAAAGTTGAATTTGTGCATTTTTGAGTTTTTTTGTTGTTGATTTCAAGGTTAATTCCACTGTGGTCAGAGAAGATGCTAGATGTACTTTCTATTATTTCAAATTTGTAAAGGCTTATTTTATGCCTTATTCATATGGTCACTCAGAGAATGTTTTATGTGTAGCTGAAAAAAAATGTGTATTTTGTATTTGTTGGGTGAAGTGTGTTATAGATACTTGTTGGGTCCATTTGGTTTACAGTATAATTCAACTCCTGAGTCTCTAAATTTTTGTCTAGATGACCTATCTGATGAGAATGGGATGCTAAAATTCACAATAACTGGGCCAGCTCCATGGCCCGGTGGTTAAGTAGCTGGATCTCACATGCTATCCACATAGTTTGAGTCCTAGACCTGATGGATTGAGAGACACGCTGAGCACATGTGCATTCGTGCCCTGAATCATAAAAAAAAGGGGAGGAGTGGAGAGAGAATGTAAAGAGATTGTATCATGAACACTTCCCATGAGAAGGGGTGATGTTTTCTCTTACCCCCCAACCCCTGCCCCTATTTAGTGCACAGACCCTCCAAGAAAGAAAAGAGGAGGGCAGGGGAACCTAACAATTAATGTGTTGAGTTAATCTCTCCCTTTAGGTCTAACAGTCTTTGTTTTATGCATTTAGGTGCTCTGACGTTGAGTGTGCAAATATTTATAACTGTCAAATCTTTTTGGTGACTAAATATCTTTAACATTATATAGTAACCTTATATGTCTCTCTGTACAGATTTTACCTTGAGGTCTGTTTTGTCCAGTATCAGCATACTACTGCTTGTTTTGGGTTCCTATTTGCATGGAATGACTTTTTCCAACTTTTCACTCTCAATCTGTGTGTGTCTGTACCAATACGGTGTTTCTTGCAAGCAGCGTAAAGAGAACTTTGTTTTTTTCATACAATCAGCCAGTTTGTAGCTTTTGATTGGGCAGTTTAATCCATTACATTCAATTCGATTACTAATGCGTATGGATTTACATCTGTCATTTTGTTAGTTGTTTCCTGTTTTATTTATTTATTTATTTTTTCTGTTATTGTTTATCCTTCCCATTTGGAAAGTTTTCAAAGTGGAAGGAAGTGAATCATTACACTTCTTTTTTAGCAGTTGCCCTTACTAATGAGTTTTATACTTTCATGTGATTTTTTTTTTTGGGGGGGAGAGGTTTTTGCTATAGGACGTGTGTGCTCGCCAGAAAGAGACAGAGAGACAGAAAGCAAGAAATCCCCCCCCCCCCCCGCGTGGATGGCCATGTCACAATTCCTTCTCCTCCATTTTCCTCTTGGAATCTAGGACTCGCACGCACACGCGCCCGGTGTGAGTTTAAGCCACCGGGTCTGGGAATCGAACCACAGTCGACTACATGGGAGTCCAACGACATAGCCATTACGCTAACTGGTGGTCCCGTGATTTTTTTTTTTAGAGAGGTTTTTGCTATAGGGTGCATGCCCTTGCCAGAAAGACAGAGAGAGACAGAAAGACAGAAAGTGAGAAATCACCCCCTGGGGGGTATGGTCATGCCACTATCCCTTCTTCTCCATTCTCCTCTCGGGATCTTGGGCATGCACACACATGTGCCCGGCATGAGTTTAAACCACCTGGTCCAGGACTTGAACCACGGTTGACTACATCCAGTGACATAGCCATGACGCCAATTGCTGGTCCCTCCTTCACATGATTTTATGAAGATATTTATCTTCTTTTCATTTCCAAATGTACTATAGCATTCCCTTAAGTATTTATGAAGGGTCTAGTATTGCTGAATCTCATCAGATTATGTTTGGGAATTAATTCTTTCAATTTGAAGGACAGTTTTGCTCAGTATGATAGTGTTGGCTGGAAATGTTTCTTTTCCAGAATTTTGAATATGCTATCCCATTCACTCCAGGTCTGTAAGGTTTCTGCTGACAGGTCTGAGGTTAGTCTGATATAGTATTATTTATAAGTAACTTGGTATATATCTCTAGCTGATTTAGAATTTTTAAAAAGAATTTTATAGAGGGCACGTGCACTGACTGGAGGGGGAGTAGAGAAAGTGAGAAACAACCCCCATGGGGAATGGTCGTGCTGCAATCCTTTCTCCTGCACTTCTCCCTCCCCTTTGGGATTTTGGGTATGCACACTCACGTGCCCGACGTGTTCTCTAAGCCACCAGGTCAAGGACTCGAACCACACAGTCAGCCATGTGGGACCCAGCTGCCTTCACCACCACACTACTTGTCGGCCCTAGGATTTTGTCTTTACCTCTGACGTTGGCATTCTGACTGAAATGTGTATGTGTAAGAGTGAGTGCAGGCATGCCAGTTAGTCGAGGGGAATGCCTGGTTTCCCCAGTCTCCGTGGTGGGGGTGAGGGTGGGGTGCGGCAAGGCAGGGTTGCTTACGCTCCGCACTCTGTTCCTCAGCGCGGTTTCCCCACCGCACTGACGCACCTGTGTTCCCGAGTATTTACTATTACACGGGCCTGGGTGACAGGGCCGTAGCTTTACTGCTCGCTCTTGCTCAGATGGTGCTGGAGCTACCAATATAGGCCTGCTGAGATTTTGGCAGGCTCTCAGGGATTTGGAAACCTGTAGGCCATATGTCAGTGGTTCAGATTTTGCTTCAGCACTGCTCTGTTCTCTGGTGCTACTCTGCACCTACTTGGGTCCGCGGAATTGGGATTAACAGGGGTAGGTCCTTCCCTGGAGTTATACAGCCCTGTGGATGTCAGAAACTTCCTTTCGCTGGACCCGGGGCCGTGGTGGAGTTTCAGACTTCAGGCAGCCAGGAACGCTGCCCACGGCAGGATCAGAGGCTGCTGATCTCTTGCTCACCCTTTCCCAGCCAAGATGAGCTCCCACTGATTCCAGCCTGCCTGTCTCAGCTGGGTGGGTGTTCGGTTCCTTCTCTATGCTCTTTATCTTGAGTTCCCAAGTTCTAGAAAACTGCAGATCTTTCCTTGGCAATATCGTGTTCTCCTGAGAAATTTCAGTAGAAGTGTGTAATTACTATTTTGTATCTTGATTTCAAAGAAGGTGTTAGTTCCTTCCCGTTGGCAATCTTGATCCTTCTCTCCAATTTTCCTCTAAAAGTATGTGTATGTGTGTGTGCGTGGTTTTTAGAACAAAACAGAGGGAATGTAAAGATATGGGGACCAGCAGTTGGCATAATGGCTATGTCGATGGACTGCCATGTAGTCAACCGTGGTTTGAGTCCCGGACCGGGTGGCTTAAACTCATACCAGGCGCGTGTGCGTGTGTGCCCAAGATCCCGAGAGGAGAATGGAGAAGAGGGGATTGCGGCGTGACCATCCCCCAGGGAGGGATGATTTCTTGTTCTCTGTCTCTCTATCTTTTTGGGGAGCACACGTGCTCTACAGCAAATAACATTATCCCACCTAAAAAAAAAAAAAAAAAAAGAAAAGAAAAGAAAAAAAGATATGTAACATATAGTTAATAAAATATTACAACCAATTCAGATTTAATAGTGGTCACTGACATTTCTGAAAAATTAATGATAAAAATATTTAAATTACAGGTTTCCCCCTCCATGACTGGTCTAATATCTTCCAAGTTCTATATTATACCTGCTAATTATAATTGCTACATATAGTCTATTTTTCTTTTTGGAGAGGTTTTTGCTATAGAGTATGTGCACTCACCAGACAGAGACAGACAGAAAGTGAGAAATCACCCCCCGGGTAGATGGCCACGCCACAATCCCTTCTCCTCCATTCTCCTTTTGGCATCTTGGGCACGCACGCGCATGTGCCTGACTTGAGTTTAAGCCACCGGGTCTGGGACTCAAACCATGGTCAACTACATGGGAGTCCAGCGACATAGCCATTACGCTAACTGCTGGTTCCAGCCCATTTCTTATAGTGCCATCTCCAAACAGTTTTCTCAAATATTACATACAGACAAACTACTGTGTTTTGCTGGGCAATATAGGAAATACAACTATCAATAGCTATCCTTCTTTTCACAATTTATTGAGTCATCAAGAAAGTCATGACACATTTTGCATCGAAAAACATAGAAAAATAAGTACGATTTTCCTGAAGACCTAATATGTTTGTTCAGTGGCAAAAAGGAGAAAAAAGGTTACAGAATAGAGAAAAATGTAAAGGACCATTCCAAGATACCTCCTAGGATATGTGTAAAAAAGTGTTGCTGGGATGCTGCAGGTAGATAAGAGAATAAAGAAGAAGACAAATGTTTCAGAGGAGACAGAAAAACAAACACAGTTGCTGGATGCGACAGGTTTACACCTATGTGAGAACAGGTATGACGAACCATGACTGAAGCTCAACCTGGAAATAAGTTCACTAGCAGAGCTTTACATGGTACACGTCAAGAGGTCATGACATTAACGCATGCATTTTAAACAAGGAGCAAACAAGGGAGCTGTGGTCACCTGGGAAGGTCCCAGGTTTGCATCCCAGAGCGTCCCTGGGCACATCAGGGCAATTATGCCCACGATTTGGTTGGCTGCAGCTAGGGCTGGGACCACGACATGAGAATCCTACTGGGTATGCCTGTCTCTCCCTCTGCCCCCTCTCTCTAATGGATGAGATACATTTAAAATAAATTTTAGAAATAAATAAAGAGGAAAAAATATTCGTAATATTAATAGCAAATACTGATTTCTAGGATAATGAAAATCCTATAAACATTTCTTCAACAAGTTCTGGGAAAATGTATATTCTGAAAAAACCATGCATGCACTTAAAAGTGCTGCTTGCACCACAACAAATTCATTCTTTAATTTCATTTTTCCACAAACGGTTTTCAGAGTCCCTTGTACAATTTAGAAAACAGTTAGTAGAATTTTTATACCAAACCTAAGGGGCAACAAACCCAGACAGTCATTCCAAGGTACAAGGAAAAACTTGAAAGTGACATACCCATCAATAATAAGGTGTTCATATGGAGCTTTCTTATCACAGACAGGACAAACCCAAGTTGGTTTTTTCTCATTCATCTGAATATAAAGAGTTGCGTCGAAACACTGCAGATGAGAACACGTAAGGGCCCGACATGGAATTGTCAGCCGCATTTTACCAAGCTTTAAAAGATAGGAAGAAAGTAAGTGTTAGACAAATGTTGTTCAAAATTTAAGCATCGATAAAAATTTCTTGAAACACTCAACAAGTTAAAGAAATGGCAGTTATTTGTCTGGTGTCAAACACAGTGTCCATGGAAAGTCTCCGATACAAAGCCCACACATCTGCATTTGGTGAGAATTATGACTCTTTAAAACTGGACATAAAATTTTGCAAATAACATGCAAAAGTGAGTGCATTTTTCAGAAAGAGTACTTTTTAAAGAAAGAATTATTTTATTTAACTTATTTAATATTATTATTATTATTTTCTAATTTGACCAGAGAGAGACAGAGGGAAAATGAGAAAGCAAGTCATCAGGTCCGGGACTTGAACTATAGTTGACTATCGGGGAGTCCAGCACCTTTAACCACCACGCCACCTGCTGGCTCCCCAAAAGAGTACTTTCACAACATTCTTAAAACTGTCCCTGTTTCCAAAAGTTAGGAACCACTTGACTAGAAATTCAGGGTTGTTTTTCTTAAAAGCATGCCTTACTGAATACTGCAGGATACAGAGATAAGGTATTTACCATCAGCCTTCTCTCTGAATGAGAATGTCCACAAGACAAAACTGAATCAATGAGCAGTCCCCACACCGCGAGGCATCGCTGGTCAATGGCAGCAGAGAGGAGTGTGGGTGTGGGCACGCTCTGTTTCTTTCCACACTGGGCACCATCACAACAGCCTTTATTTAGCTATCCCCAGCATGTTGACAGACTTCCCTTCTCGTCCTGAAAATGTTGCTTGAGTTGACACAGGTTGGGCATATCCCCTAACAAAGAGGGGCACTCTGTTTCATCTGGTCTCTGGGCTGCTAGCTTCAGCCCAGGCAGAGAAGCTACCCAGAGACCTGCATGGAGAGCAGCCCATCACAACCTCCTGCCCTGCAGGACACGTCCTACCACTGTGGGATCCCAGAACACTAAATGGCCATACAGGATAGAAGCTTTCTATTTTCAATAACTACATTGCTTACCAAGCACCAGAAAAAGATTTTTTCACATAATTTGTGAGCTTGAAAAACATAAAGGCTTGAAAAGGATATGAGTTAAATGAACAAAAAGATTCCTGTCTTAGAAGAACTTCAGGAAAATGTGCAATTTCCTAGTCTACCAAGGAAATCAAATGACATTCAGAGCTCTAAATTATTGTTCTGGTACCAGAGATTTACTGTGACCTTTCTGGTCCCCCCCCCCTTTTTTTTTGTAATCTCTAAAGTAACACTGTTTCCTCCTTACTTTAACTGGACGTAGTGAAAAAAAAAGAAAAAAGAATGGGCTGAATGCGCTATAAACTTATATGTAGAGAGAATACCACTTTGGAGAGTCAGAAGTATGAACAGGAGGGACCCAGGGTAAACATCTCTGTGCTCCCAACTCTACCCCTGTGATCACACTCTTCATTTGTGCATGTTCTCCTACTAAAACAGGGCCACCTCATCTCTGTCCCCAGCACTTGGAAACATACCTATACCTCAGGGACTCTGTCTCTGTTCTGGCATGACTTTGGATGTGTGCTCAGTGATTCTAGGAGCCATTCTAGGAGGTCTGCAGGACAGACAGCACTTTGAGTGCTCTGAATATGAACTTTGGAGTTAGATTACCTAAGTTTGAATCCTGGCCCCACTACTTACTGTGTGAATCTTCAATGTTTTTTTTATTTAGTCACTTAAAGGCATGGGTGTAAAATGGGGATTAAAAACAGCATCGACACCCTAAAATTGTGGGGATTAAATTATGTTAATGCACAGTGCTTGACACAGTAAGTTTTAAATAAATGTCACCATTATTAAAGTGGAGAAACCAATCTGTTTCAAATCACTCGGTATTCTAGAAGACCCACCTAAGCCTCGGCTCAGTCACTGTGGCATGCTATCCCCACGCAGTGCTAAATAGCTCCATTACTCCCGTACCACACACTCCTATTCTAATTTTACGGTCTGATTTACCTAAGCACCTAGTAAAAGGGCCAAAACCACAAACTATTTCTTATAACAGAAAAATGACCTATTTGCCACTTGGTAACATGTGCTCTGTTAGTTCAAAAACATCTTCCAAATGATGATCTAGTTGTTAGCCACACTACATTTCTGTATCTCAAGTCAGACCTTAACTGTAAAGTGCAAACTCCTGAGCAGGTATCTTGTCACTGCCTTAATGATAAGTAGAGAAACCACAGAATAAAAATCCTAGACAAATACGATAATAGCACAGCAGGTTCACAAACTATAAAACTATAAGGCTACCTGACGGATAGGAAAATAATAAGATGATAAAAACAGTGTTTCCGAATCCAAGGAGGAGGCCACAGACTTTATACACTAAAAGCGTCGCTCTCCAAAGGCCTTCATCTCACATAGCTTTATCCTCATAAACCCGGGCTGTCCATTTAAATCTTTTAGGCAAAAGAGCAACTCTCAAGCTTTTATAATCAGTTAAGCTGAACTACAGGGCTTTTAAGGAACACCTACATGGATAATGCAGGAGGACATTTATAAATGGACACAGGGAAGCAAAAATTAACTTTCAAATGTACTGTTTATTACCAGTCACACAAATGCAGAGAATCACAAAATGTTATGTGAGACTCCTGTTCTTGATTTAAAAAAATAATCATTAAATTCCTAACATTTAGCTGATAAATGGACACCAATTTTCTCTAACTTGGTATTAAGAGGGAAGCTGCGTTTTTTTTTTTAAAGAATTATTTTATTTAGTTTTATTTATTTAATGTATTTATTTTCATTTGACTAGAGAGGGGCAGAGTGAGAGAGTGAGAGAGAGAGAAAGTGAGAAAGCAAGCCTCCAGGTCCGGGACTCAAACCCTGGTAGGTTATGCAGGAGGTCTAGCACCCTTAACACACCACCCACCTGCCGGCCCCAAGAAGCTAAGTTTTGCACATCCTCATCTTCTGGTTACAAACCCTCCTTCCCTTTAGGCCATGACGGGTACCTGCACCCTTTGCTAGTACATGCTCTGAAAGCTGCTCCCATCTGCGCTCCTGTGCCACGGTCTTACTGCAATAGCGCTATGGCTCCAGAGACCAATGGTGCTGCCAAAGAAGATTCCTGATACAGTGTGAGCTCATTCAAAGGAGCATCAAAGTGTCAGCAAAAATAGGTACTTTCTCCTTGCAAAAAGAAAGGTAGGCATGTGATACTAAGAACTTCACGTTTCTAATACTCATAAATATTTCATAAGTAAGTTTCTAAAGACTATTTTTTTCCTTTTGTCAACTCTAAGTCATTTGTATTGGGGTCTACAGGTCTGAGAAGTATCTCAGAAAGCAGCTTCTCAAAGATTCTTCCAGATCTGTTTTTCATAAATCAGAACCAAAAAATTCCCAAGCAGCAAAAACATTTTTAATTATTTTCATTGCCTTTAGCTAAATGGCATTCAAACAACAGAAACTCATTTATTTTCAGCTCTGTACATCACAGGGGCAATTCAAATGCACAGTGAGATGCCGTATTTACATATTTCAATGGGAACAAATCTCTTTTATTATTCTATAACTTTGATATATAGATGGGTTTTCATTATTAAATTTTATTTTTTAGTAAAAACATACCTAAAAAATATGGCCTTACTGTTCCAGAATAATGATAAAGAGATAATCTGTTTAGTGACATAGAAACCTATGAACATATGAGAACTATAGATTTTACATACTTAAGATTTTCCCCTATAATCTGAATTTTGGAAGACGTCCGTTTAAAATGAACTGCTGAACCTGATGAACTACAGAGGGAGGAGCAGTGAGGATAAGAAATGAAAAAAGCTAGCATACTAAATGAAGAAGGACAAGGAGGAAAATGTAATTAACATCTTCTAACAATAAAGATTCCTGAGCTATGCAATTCAAAACTAGTCCCAAAGATGAACAACTGCCAGTGGCCCAGCTGGTGGTGAGGCGGCTAGACAGCTGGATCCCACATGGCTGACTGCGTGGTTTGACTTCTGGACCTGGCGGCTTGGAAAACACTTGGCACCTGTGCCTAAAATCCCAAAAGAAGGGGAAAATGGAGGAGAAGGGTTTGTGGCAGGACAATTCCCTGAGAAGGATGCTTTCTCTCTATCTCTGTCTCTGTCTGGCGAGTATACATGCTTCTGGCAGACTAACTTTAAAAATTCCAAGATTTATAATGTTACAGATATTATACATTAGCATAGTTATAAATATTTTAAAGTGAGACTGCAGAAAAACAAGACTTTTCTCAATGATTTAAATAGAATATAGGGCTTCTGTATTTATTTAAATTTAGTGAATATCATATCCTCTCAACTGGTGCTTTATAATGAAATGAGGTGCCAAGAAATCGTAGAGGGGAAGGAGTGGATAAATCAGGATTTTGTGGAAAGGGGAGAATAAGTATGCATCTATTTTTGTCTTTTTTCCACTCTCTACTTCCCTGGGCTGTGAATCGTTTTTTTCTAAAAAAAAAAATTGGAAATCAAAAACCAAAAAACAAAGCAGTTTCCTTTACAACACAGGCTGTTAACTGGGGATTTTTAACAATAATATAAAAAGTCTGGAATTGAAATACTTTCTCTAAGGAAAAAAAAATTGACCTCAAAGAAGAATGAGAAGAAAAGTTAGAGGGAAAAATAAAAGGATATATGCACAATGATAGGATTTGGTGGTTTTTATTAACTGTTTTGCATAATAATTGTATTTTTCTAACATATAAGGCTTATGAGTAAGAAGTCTCTAATTATTTCCCTCCCCAAAACAATTTCTTAACAGAGCTAGCCAAAATACAGTATATTATAAGCTAATCCATGAGCTTATGACTTTTTTCATATTCTGTTTGATGATTTTATAAATTTAAAAAGACTAAGATGTAGGACAAAAAACATTTCTGTTTAAATTCTTAATTTCTTTAAGAATTTAATAACTTCATAACCAGACTAGTAATACTGCAATATCAAAAGTGTTGAATATTGGGGCCGACAGGTGGCGTGATGGTTAAGGGCACTGGACTCCCACATGGTTGACCACAGTTCAAGTCCTGGACCTGGTGGCTTGCTTTCTCATTTTCCCTCTCCCTCTCGCTCTGTTCCTCTCTGGTCAAATAAAAAATAAAGTTAAATAAAATAATGTTTTAAAAACAGTTATCACTATCAGGCCTGCATGAACAATCCAGCCCAATCAGGAAACAGATAATGTCCACTCATTCTTCGTACTTTCTTCCCAATGTAGATATGATTAAATTGATTAATTATGAACAAAATATAATAAAAATGGCAAAGTAATTTACTACTTTTACATACTTTTATGTGGAAAAAAGCATACAAGAGTCATGACTACCATTCCTACTACTGGTGGACCTAATGTTAAATTAGTTAAGAAATAAATCTTAATATAATTTTTTTTGGAGAGGTTTTGCTGCAGGGCGTGTGCACTCACCAGAAAGACAGAGAGAGACGAAGAGACAGAAAGTGAGAAATCACACCCCAGGGGGGATGGACACGTCGCAGTCACT